TGACAAAGCCTTACAAGTCACACTTCTTTGACTTAAGATTAGGTGTTAAAGGAGGTTTCAAACTTTCAAGTATTGGTTTTGTAGGGATTTTTGTTTGATTGATTGGTGGATCTCATCATGAGCTGACATCAGTAGGAGAACCACTGGAGAACCTGGGAGTACTGGACAGCTAGCTGTTTCGTCCTAGTTTGGGACTCTTCATCGGTACGCACCCTCTTGGGTTAGAACCAACGGCTTTCCGATTACCAGACAGCGAACTCGTAGATCATCCAGATACTGGGTCCTGATTCAGCGGTCCTTGAATTCCAAATTCTGACTGGCCCTATTCAGGCAGTGACCTGGAATTCTAGTGGGAAGTCGTGACCAGGTTGAAGGCGAGGCGGTAACTCATCGAAGAAGACATTGCAAAGTGGTCGTGCTATGTCATGAATTGGCAGAAGCTGGAATTCATGGGCCGGCCAATGGATGGGGTCCCAGTGTAACCTTTGCCCGAACCCCCCTGGTGCGTGCGTACAGATGAAGAGTCCCAAGGTAGGACGAAACAGCTGTCCAGTACTCCCGAGTTTTTAAACTTTCTGTCTGTGTGTGTGTCTATTTCATATTGGCAAATTAATTAGACTTTTATAGTCTCTAGATTTAGTTCATAACACTGAATTTAATCGTCACTGATTGTAGATTAAACCTGGCGTCTATTGTTTATTACTTCAATTTGTCTAGTTGTATGACTGTAGAACATGACCATTAAACGTGAAGAACTGATCAAATCTTTATTCATTTTTGACTATCATTGACTGTGTAGTTTTACTATTATTATTCTTTGGATTTTGAGTGGAACATAGGGCTTCAACACGCACATCTTCATTTTGCCATGTTCTTTGCAATTGTCTAAAGACAATTGACTACACGATTACCTTTAAGCTTTCATGTCCTCCTCCTCACACGATTTCCTTCATGTCACCCTTGGACGCATTTCAAACTCTACAGCAGTGGACTGCATTACACACAGTGTGACTTGATGGTCTCGTCAGTGTTTGCCCATTTTTCTTCACTTTCTTCTACATATTTGTTGAGCAGTCACTTCTTCATTGATTCGTTCCCAGAATTTCTTGTTGCTGATTCTTTCTCACCAGCCATTTGAACTTCAAAAGAGAGCCAGCGAAGGCAGCGGTTGATAAAAGTATGCAGTAGATTGTTGGAAATGCTTTGTCTGACGCGTGTGGCATGTTTCTGACCCATATGAAAGAACTGACTGACCGACTTAACATTATTGTTGAAAATTCGGATTTTTTTTATGTTGAGTGAAAGGCGGAAGATTTCAGGTTGATGAAGGTTTGTTCTGCCTTTCCGATTCTGTCTTTGACATCTTCATCCGTCCCTCCAGCCTGAGGTTGAAACGGTACTTCCTAGATAGGTGAAAGAAGTGACCTCTTTCAAATTTCTTCCGTTGATAGTGACTGCTGCTGATTGTTGTTGCTGTTGGTGGTATGTGGGTATCTTCATCAACTCCATTTTCTCTGCGTTTACTTGAAGTCCTGTCTTCACTACTTGCCTCTTCTGCCAGTTTGTTGATTTTCGCCTGTAAGGTTTTAAATTTATGTGAGATTAGACATCAGTTTTTCACTCAATCCAGATCTTGTAGAGTTTTTCTCTGTTTCCAACATATTCCTACCTTCTCGCCTCCCACTTATGGTGTGCCATATAATTTAGTCCGCCAAAATTAGGAATATCATTGATGATATTACAAGAATTATGGGACTGATGAATAAGGCAGTCAACAAGGTATCAGAACACGCGTTACATACGCATGCCTACTCACCATTTGATTTGGAGTAATTTTTTAGGTGAAGTTTGAAGTGATTTAGTAGAGGAAGAATGGTATGCAAACCAACACATAGCAGAAATTCAAAAAGTTAGTAATCATTTATCGAAATATATACATGTATATTTCCCCTACTACATTTCAAACTCTATAACCTTCGATTATATTGTCTTCATTTTCGTTCACTCCTTTGAAAGGCATAAGATCAGGCAACTCATACAGCTGCAATAAGCAGAATATTAAGGCAGAAATAATAGTAACATGGGAAAACATTAGGGTCTAAGACAAACAAGAGGTCACTAAGAGTGAATACACCTTCGCCATCGAGAATGATTTTGCGCCATATCACCGACAATAATAATAATGGCTTTATTTCAAACAGTACCTTTAGTACAAGTATAGAATAATTAATTATCAGGTGAAATTAAGGAAAACGATAATGTGGCAATTTACCGGTTCCAGTTCGAGTTCCACTCGAGCGATGGCCTGACGTGTGATGTCACTTGATGGATTGTTCTCTCAGAGTATGGCCACATCACCTAACTCCATTTCTTCCTCCATATTTCTTGCACGATTCGTTCCTACTGGGTCGGTTCGCTACCAGAGATCCCTCCCAACTGCTGGTCTTTTCTGGATAGCCATCTGAATATGAGTAATATTGAGCGAAGACAGATGCTGAGGAAGGTGTGTAGTTTGTTCGAAGTGGCCTTCGTGACACGGTACTGATTCAAGCCTCTGATCCGTATAGTAAGTAGCACTGACTTCACATTGGAGTTAAAATCCGGATCTTACTTTTCAAACTGAGCACTGTTGACCTCCACAAAGACTTGAGAGTAATGAGAGCTTGTCTTCCTTTCCCAATCCTCGATTTGATTTCCTCATCAGTACTGTCCGCCTGTAGTTAAAACGACGATGTTTCCCAGTTAGGTAGGAAGGTAGTTAAATTAGGTTACTTCTTTCACATTCCTCCCATTCATGCTGACTGTTTTCTGTTGTTGTTGCTGCTGTTGGCCAGGAATCTTCATCACCTACCTCTGTTTTCTCTATGTTCACATGAACGAAGTTATATCTTCTCTGAATGCTTCTTCTGCCAACCTGCTGCTTTTCATTTGCATATCTCCCAGTTTGTGGAAAATCAGACTATATCATTGGGGAAGTCCAGAACCTCAAAGTTTTTTTGTGTGGCCGTGTTCCATTCATGTCTCCTCGTTGCCTGCCGCCGTCTTTCGCATTATCCAGTCTGTCGCCCGCAATCAGGGAAGTCATTGGAGATGGTAGGCAGGCAGCTTTCTTACTCCCGTCTTCACTTAAAAGGATTCCATGAGCTTCCCAATGTGGATTATTTGGCATGCAGCATTATCGTACAACGGACGAGGTGTATAATTGTTGACCAGCACCCCATAGTAGCAAACTAGTTTTCAAATCACCTATCGATTGACGCTGTCGAAGGTCTTTTCAAAGTCAGTGAAATTGAGTGAGGTAGAGAGGTGACTGCCATTCCAATCTCTGCTCTTCGGTGATACGTAGTGTTGCGATTTGTAGATACTGAACGTAATTGTAGTGCTGGATCAAATATCTATGGATAACTGTTTCCAATTTGGAAATCTGAATAGTTTTCATCAATAATAAGCATCAGATCGGATCACACGTTTACTTGATATCACCCATAATGTTATGATGTTACCAAATGGATAGGGTGTCCAGCAAAACTGCTGCATCATAGAGTTATAAATAGCCATTTAAAGGACTTTCTCATCTGATTTATATAATATCCGGTCTTTGGGGATCAGTGTTGCGTCATTTGATGAATAGAGATCCAGTGATTAACTTCTCTCTCTCACAATCACAATATCTTACTTCTTAATACTTTGATCCTATCTCAATATGTTGTGTGATCGATTTCATATAGAGGTGAATGAGTAGCAGTGACAGAGCTGTTTTTTTTCATGTTATTCAAATTAGCTGGAATCTACAATATTAATGATAACACCTTTATTCAAAATTATACTTTTGTTTCAAATATGAATTTTTCAGCGTGTATTAAAGTACTGCATCTAATTTTCTCATAACCAGGGTAATAATTAAAATAGGGCATTTAAACTGATCATATTGTTAAATAAGGATATGAATATAAAGTCAGAATTTAAGTGGAAATATCAACATCAATATAACATTGAATGAAAGAACTAAAAGGGCTATTTACTTAGTGTTACTCAGTAATTTGGCAATGTCAAGCCTAACACTTCTTTCACCACATAAAATGTGTGCCAGCCAAATAACGTTATTGTAGAGTTTTGATACTTGGTCATCCGAGCATACAATTTTCTACAGTTGCTTCTACTTCGCCTACTTGATGAGACAGATGTAAGGAGAGAGTTGTGCATAGTGGGGATGCTAAAGATGCAACAATATTAATGAACGAGTTGGTTTAGCAGCAACCTAATCGCTAACTAACAGATTTTAGTGCCCTTCTAGGAAAGATTAAGGTGGTTGGGTGGGAATGAGAGCAATAGAGAATAGAAGGATTATCGAACTGCAAAAGTAGATATTGGCTGAGTGATACCAGATTGTCTTAACTTCCTTACGTAGAACTTTGGACGAAATATCCTTCTAGAAACTGAAATGATGTGGGAAAACCAAGAAGGATCACAGGAAATACACAATCACAGTTATGTATTTAACATTCGACTTAGTTTCAGCTACAGTGATGTGAAGGATAGTAGGATCATGTGTATGAACCAGTTCATGTAGGTCGCATTTGTCTCTGAAAGTGAAATGAATGACCTGACATTTAAAGGGACTAAGTTTATGATTATTTATTGAAAAGGACCATTGACAAATCTGTGAGAAGTTATTCATTTTGGAACAATCTGACTGAGAAGTAACCGACATAGAAGCATTCGGATCAACGGCATATTTAACTGGAACTAGATAAGACAGCCAAGTCAGTTCAAACCATCTGGATTCTTGTTTGCCACTTGGATGAACTGATAATACATAATTGAACTAGATCCTAAGTAGATGAAGTGCCTTGCTGATGTCTACCAGCTGTGACAGTTTATCACCAACGGCAATTTACTTATTTGATTGCTCACATCAGTTATACCTATTTTTTGTTCTCTGGAAACATTTTTTTCAAGAATCTAGTGACCATTTATTGCTTTACTTCTTTATTTCACAGAAACACTGAATCGACTGTTCATACATATATCAAGCCTAAAAGAATATGGTCTCCAATTGTGATCAATTTTCTAATTCTTCAACTCCAATGCAATGTAAATCAGAATACAACTCCTCAAACCCGAATCAAAAAGACTATCGCCCGGATGATGCGCCTGTAACTCCATGGATACGTGGAGAAGTTATCTATGAAGGAAGTAAGTTTGTCAAGTGTCTCTTTGTACTCTCTGGAGTTGTGTAATATTATATTGATCGATGTGTTTAGTGAGAAAGCACTCATGCCAGTTTGTGGTGATCTATATATACAGTGCATCATTTAACTGATAAGATCCCGAAAAGTAGACATTGCGAGGATTTTGTCACGTTTCATTTGGCACTTATCTGACAGTGCAGAGACTGGGTGTTCGGGTTTCCAAAGGGTACGGATTGTGTTATTCTGATCAGGGTTTTGCGCAAATTATGTCACGTTTTAGACGGGATCACCCATAAACTCACTTAGGAAGAAATTATGTCCCTTAAAAGATCCCGTCAAGCCCATTAAGCAAAATAATTCATTTTAATAATTGTCAGGTCAAATGCATTGGTCAGTGTAGTAGAAAGAGGTCATTCAGGCTAGCAGAGTACAGAAACCTAGCGGAATCTCACTTAGTTGACCTTAATAAGATAAGATATCTAGAGAATAGATCAGCTATGGCACTCCATGCAGTTATGCACAGCCATACAATAGGATGCGATAAGATGACAGTTTCAAAATCTAATTTAACAAGGTGTGGAGGGAAAGACTGATAAAGGAAACTTTTTTCATTTATTCAGTTGAAAATATGCGCGATAGGAATGATTCAACACCTTCCCAGCAGAACATCTGTAAAATTCTACTACCTCTACGACAAGTAGGAAAGAAAAAAGAAAACTCGAGTACGAAAGTTTTAAAGTTGTGTATTTATAAATGATATCGATTTATTTATTGATTTTTGATTTTTCATTTACAGCTTGATTCCACACCGTTTTTTCAGTACAAGTGTGGAATTTTCAGCATGGATATCCGTAGCCCAAATTCAGGCCGACCATAGATACCGGGTGTGCGCCGGCAGGGGATCGAACCCCGGACCATGTGCATGGTCGGCGAGAGTCCTAACCACTGTGCCACCTACGCACATTACCATTTAGTTGTCCTGGAAACGTCTTCCAGTAAACAGTATTACTGTTTCACTGTGGGATACATCAGATAGAAAAGTCAGTATGGGATTCGAAAGTTTACTGTTTATTGTCATTAAAACAGAAGTAACCACTCTGCGTTACTTACAGGTCGGTAGAGATTATAGGCACGGGATCCAGCTGCAAGTGATATAGCAATGAGACGTTTGTCTGAAGACGCTATTCAGATTCTCCTATGGTGGGTTAGGGTGACTGGTTAAATGAATAATTGGGAATTTGGAAACAAGCTACACTAATAAATTGTCACAATATCCCATAATTAATGGTTTTTAAAATGAATTTACTATCCTAACTACCTTGAACACCATGCAACACTACGGAAAAGGTTCAATAGAATTAATTAAAACAAATTGTTCAATTGACAATTTTCATTGATTTTTTTTGTTTAAATCTCAATGTATGCATGTTATGTAATTTTTCTGTTCAGTAATTTTCATTGAGGTGTCCAACCATTAGATTGTAGATCCTTAATTGATAGATTTATTTGTTTATACTTATGGATTGAAAAATTAGGTAAACTATTCGTCTCCATGTCCCTTTGTTGATCGTTGCTTGTGTTTCGTGCTGTTTGTGATCAATTCGTTAGATATACCTGCATTATCCGATGAGTGATTGTGTTCCTAGTGGGACTCGAACCCAGCACTCATGATTTCAAGTGCCACAAGCTTCCGTCATGGTAGCTGACGTGCCAAAAGAAACTGACTATTTCACTTCAATGTAATTCGTCAGCAGGGAATTCTAAATAAATTTATCTCCCCACTTAATCTTAGCCTTATTCTCTACAGCATTAAAGCATTAGAGATTTTTTTGGTAAAACATGTTTCTTCTTATGCAGAATCTTCAGTCCATATTCCGTCTCTTCATACAATATTATCCTGTTTGAAGAACACTGCCATTACCCAAGAAGCTTCACTCTCATTTCTTTCGAAAAGTGTATAACGCTAGGTTGAAAACATTCCAGAGATACACGTAAGAACAAATAGCGACTTAGGGTTATGTAGGAATAGTTTAAACATCTTACAGTATGGAAACTTAGGAAATCCCATCCCACTCTCCCACACACACAGTAATCGGATCTAATTCGTGATCCTGTGCAGTAGTAACTAATCCACTTCGTTGAAGAACATTCCAGAAACACCAAATGATAGCTTAAGGTTTCAAAATTCAATCAATTATTGACCCAAAGCTGTTGAAAAGATAGGTAGTCATATCCTCAGGATAACCAACTAGAATTAGAGTTGAAAAACGAACAGAATATGCAGTTCATCTAATCACCATAATTAACTCCAAGAATGTGGTCGTAAAGGTCCCCATGGATATTCTTTTGGCTTGAATACACACATGGAAGCTACACACACTAAAGAGTATCGTTCGTTAGTCAGGTCAAGATAATCCAGTTACCTCATAGTTAGTTCACTTATTCAAAGTCGATTTTATTAATGGCGAATTCTGATTAACTCATCTCAAATAGCCAAGGGTGTTCAAATAACTCAGGTTCTGGCTGACTATTACAAATGCTCACTAGAGACTGGGTGTATTCAGGCAGTTATCTGGTGCTCTATTGGGAAGCTGCAACCAGTAAGGCACAGTAGGTCGAAGGTGAGGACATTTACTCATCGAAGACATTACGAAGTGGTCGCACTATGTCGTCAACTGGCAGAAGTTAGAATTTATGGGCTGGCCATTGGATGGGATCCCAGTGGCTGAATGGTTTACGAGCTCGTAATGTAACCGGTACGCCCTGGGTTCGAAACCCTGCGGTGGGTGCGTACTGATGAAGATTCCCAAATTAAGACAAAACAGTTGTCTAGTACTCTCACGTGGTTTCCCAATGGTTCTCTAACCGATGTCAGCTCATGATGAAGTCCTCCAACCAATCAAACAAAATCCCTACAAAAGAATACTTGAAAAAAGACGAATATAGTGTATTGATGTTGAGCTCATTGTTAAACGAACCAAACGGCTGCAGCACCTTGATTTGACTAACTGACATGACTAGTTAACTGGAAATGATTTCCAACTACTCATTATCACTCAGTAGTATATAGCGTGTAGATCCTTAATGCGTCATTAGCAAATAAAGACATTTATACATGGATTTATTGCTCTATAGACTTTCATAAGTACACAAAAAGTTGAAATAGATACATTTTTCATTACGTGAAATTACACTAATTAATTCATTAATTAATCCACTCAAATATCTAATTGTTCAATATACAATTGTTGTTACAATTTCCAACTGATCAGTACACTTCGTTACTGTTGAAATTCAAAAAATGTTGAATAGTGCATGTTGGGCTTGTGATATCTAATCAACGAAATAAAACAGCAGTCAGTGGTTTACACTCTGCATAGATCGTAGCTAGAGAGAAAATCACTGTGAACTGTATAGTTATGAATAGATCAGTACCGCGTTCACGAACAATTTGGTCTGCAGTGGTATGTCCGAGATGATCTCAATGATATCTTAAAGGGATATTCGGTAAACATTCTTTGAACATTCTCTCATACGCATGAAACAAGTGTGCACCACTGAAGAGTCCAAAACTAGGATGAAATACCTGAACAATACTCCCTGGTTTCCAACAATTCTCTAACTGATGTATCAATTTGTAAATTCTGAAATTGAAATGAATCAAAATCCTCTAGCAATTAAATTCTTAAATCTACCTTCGACTACATTTGTATTCACACTTAATTCAATTAGAAAAGACTTGCAGGGAATCTGTTAATATGAAAGTAGCCTTCGCTACAGGTCAACAATAATTAGAAGCTCTCCAGAAATGAAGAAAAACCAAATAGCAATATTTGGCCTACTTTAAGACTCTTGAGTAGTGCATAGACGCAGTCCCTCAGATAAAAGCTGGGTCTAGTGACTGGAAGGCTGTCATCTGGATGGTAAAATGTTATATATCTTGACCATTTGTCGTTGCCATCATTAAATAGATATCCTTATGTGTTCTTTAGCTGATCGTAGATAGTAGTGGAATGCATAGCGCTACTTTCGTCTGTTCCAAGGCTCGTCAGCCGTGTATAGACTCATCTTCATTGAGTGATGATATTCGCCATGATGCTCGAAATCAGGGCCTTCGAGTTTGAACACCGAAGAAACAACTTCAACAAATGAAATCAGTGTGTAGTTGTATCTTCCCAGAGCTTTCAGGAATCCATTTCAATGGAAAATCTAATTCTACCTAGTCATTTTCTGTTACCTTTGTTTAATATGTATCAAAATGTGGCATAATCTGATGCATAATACTTCAAAAAGCACCTTCTCACATTAGCAGCAAACAGATTATTTACATCATATTAGGAGAGCACAACACTGAAATCGTCTGCACTTAGCATGATAACAAGATTCGGATTTTCAGCACAGTTTTGAAGTCGGTCAGTGCTTCTATACGGGTCAGAAACCTGGCCAGAGTGTCACAAAAAGTATTTCTAACAGCCAGCTGCAGACTTTTATCAACATCTGCTACCTTCGCTGGCTCCATGCTGAAGATCACCTGGCCAGCCAGCCAGCCTGCCAGAAAGAATTAGCAACTAGAAAATTTGGCTGAGAACAAACCAACGAAGAGCCGATTGGTCAACAAGTATGGAGCACTCAATGTAGGTGGATCGGGCATACGCTGTGGAGGCCGTCGAATGACATCACGCGCAACGCAGGCCATCGCTCAAGTGGAATGCCAGTTGGAAGCGACAAGCGGGTTGTTGGAGTGAGGGTGACATGGAGCAGATGAGAGACTACGGGAGATCGCGGATCCAGCTGAAGAGGACGGCATGGAATAGATGAAAATTGAGATGTGTCGTTGAAGCCGTATATTCCATTCGGGACCCAAGGTGATAATGGTAATAATAAACATTGAAGCCAGTGTGAAAAAAGAAAACTAGACATTAATAATAATAATAACGGCTTTATTCTGGACAGTATTTATGTAATGTGCAGGAATTTCACCGGAGTTTATTACATGATGTTTCCTTCTGGTTCAAGACCTTCAGATAAAATATTAACTGACACTGGGTCCTTTGACACAATGCTGTCTAACGCGAAGGGAAAACCAATCCACCATGATATTTCTGCTTTGTATCCTTCAGGAAATGCATTATGTTTGGCTGAAAGCCAATTGTAAGACGTTCAGGAGTCCATTTTGAAACTCAAGGACATAACTTAGGGACCGTTATCACGTTTAAACACATTCATTGCCGCCTCCCCCTTCCACCCATAATTATGCCTTTTCTTAAGTTTATTATAAACTAGCGAATCAACAGGATGTAAACATTTTAAATACTGGCGACAGTAGATAATACCATTAGAAGTTTTATTTTAATCGATTAAAACAAAATGATCAGGAGAAATGATATGCAATATAACAATGGAGGGTTTTGATAGTCCACGTTTTAAGCAGGCTGTCGGGTGACTGTTTTAAACACTTACACCTGTGTATATCATCGACAAACTGGTCGAAGAAGCAGGCAGTGAAGACAGGACTCCAGGTGAATATAGACAAGACGGAAGTTATGAAAATAACCAACCAAGCAACAACAGCGGCATCCAGCGCCACTCACCATCAACGGGAGGGATTTGAAAGAGGTTACTTCATTCACTTATCTAGGGAGCATCGTCTCAACTGCAGGAGGAACGGACGAGGATGTCAAATCGAGAATCGGGAAGGCGAGAAACACATTCATCAACATGAAACCAATCTGGAAATCTTCGTCACTCAACTCACCATCAACAACAAAATTCGGATTTTCAATACAAACGTCAAGTCAGTCACTTCTTCTATACGGATCAGAAACTTGGCGGGTAACCAAGAATATTTTCAACAAGTTGCAGACGTTTATCAACAACTGTCTTCGTTCAATACTGAAGATTAGATGGCCCGAAAGAATCACCAACAAGAAACTATGGGAACAAACAGAAAAAGAACCAATCGCTCAGCAAATATGCAGGAGAAATTGGAGATGGGTTGGACATTCGCTGAGGAGGCCGCTGGGTGACATTGCGCGTCAGGCCATAGTTCGAGTGGAACCCGAAAGGGAAGCGGCGAGTGGGACGTCCAAGGGTGACATGGAGGAGATCGTGTGAAGAAGAGTTGAAACAGTATGAACTAACATGGATGCAAGTGAAAAGTACAGCAGAAGACAGAAGCAAGTGGAGACGTGCAGTTGAAGCCCTATGTTCCACTAGGAACTCAAAGGAACAATAATAATAACATCATCGATGTATTCTATGCAACTTTAATCCATGTTCCACAATAGAATCACTCGCTTATAAAATCCCTACACGGTTCAAATACTTATTTTTGCATGTAAGAATCAATAATCATATTCAGATCAACTGATTTGATCCTACCCTGATTTCATGAATTTTCTTTGCCTCACTATAGTCGTTGTAATCATTTTGTATGTTCTTATTTATTTCTTTAAAACAAATTTCAGTGGTACCAGCTGATCGAGGTTATGTATCAAAAAATATCTTCGGTAGACGATACTTTACAAAGAATAGTTCAAAGCTCTACAATGGTGGTAATTGTGCAGATGGATCCAATTATTATTATTATTATCATCATCATGGTCGTAAAGGCGGTGGTCGTATACCCAATCGATATTATTATCATGCTGGGCAACGCATTTACTATAACAATAATGCTACTAACAATAGTAATAATAATCATAATAATAACGGTAAATACAATAATTATAGATCCCGGTGTCCATCTGCTCATTCCATGTGTACATCACCCCTGTCATCCAGCCAATCTGTGGTTAACTTAACTGATACCTCTATGAATGATTATTACGCATATTATAAAAGCTGTAGAGCATATCATCAACATCATCATCGTTGTTCAAATTCTGGTCGAACAACTGCCATGACAAATGAACAGCTGACTGATGAATATATTGATGATTGTTTGTCTACAGATATTGCTCAATATCAGTTGAAATTAGATATGGACAGTAGCCTGTATGATGAATATAATACAAAGATAATAATGAAACGTAGAGAGAATATTGATGCTTGGGTGAAATCTTCTTCACCATCAATGGATTCTGATCTAATGTCCGTAGATATTAGTCAGTCATCATCATCAAATAACAATAATCATCATCATCAGGGGGATTTCCGACATTTACAACGGAAAAGTAAAAGTACACTAGACTTATTGATACCAGATCCTGCTTTAAATGATCTCAGTGATGAATGTGGCGGCGGGATAAACACCAAGGATACTGATGTCAATGATGAGCTGGCTAACAATGATAACGGTAATCCTATTCAAGAACATACAGAAGAAAAATTGAATACTGAAGATGACAGTGATATGCAGAAACACTGTAAGTAATACATTTTCAAGAGTTTGTTTGTAGAAATTTTATTTGTTTTTTCATGTTTTGATCACGGATTGATGTCACTTAGAGAACTATTGAAAACCAGCTGTTTCGTCCTGGATTGGGACTCACCGGCAGTACGCATGCATCGCCAGGGGTTCAAACCCAGGACCTACCGGTTACAAGGTTCGATCCGATGGATCAACAATTCCGAAACCTACCAATTCATGATCATTTTAGCGCAAATGACATCAGCCAGTGTTATCGGTGGCGAGTATTAGTTTTCACTCCCGATCTGGTGGTGGACCCCACTATTGACGATTTCTCACTAGAAGGAGCTCCAGTCAACTTAGTTCTGTAGCTAGTCACACACACTAGTGAGCATCAGACTAATTTCCAAGAGTTTGTTTCTAAAGATTTGATAGATGATATGATTCATAGTCAGGCCATTGAATCGGGTGCCAGTGCTTGAATGTTCTATGAGCTTTCCTTCTAACTGGAAGGTCTTGTATTCGAAACCTAGTTGGTAGGTGCCTACTGCGGTGAGTTCCAAGCACTAGGACGAAACGGCTATGATTTTTAATGGCTCGCCTACTGATTTTCGCATTTGTTTGAATATTTGTTGTGCTGTTTTGCGAGTCCTTTTTAAAAATAAATAAGAGATGAATTTAATTTTGAGATTCAGAGGGTAAATAAATACACCTTGACTTCAGTAAAAGTGTGCATCATCTATCTGTAGGTTCAACGGAACCCAGAATTATATCAGTGAACCATTGGGCAGTAATTCTCTTAAAGTTGTCTAGTTATGAATACAATAAGTTTTTTAGGAGTTATGGTTTCTTTGACATTGCAAATATGCCTTGCTGATGATGAGTGCCCAAAAACATGGAAAATGAGTTCATAACTTCCTGACACTTCGACTGTTTAGTAGTAGTGTGGTGGTGTGATACAGACAATGTGTACCAACGGAATGTTATTCTCACATGCTCCCACAGTTCAGTACTGCATTGGCAACGGTGGTTAGGACTCTCGCCGACCATGCACACGGTCCGGGGTTCGATCCTCTGCCGACGCACACCCGATATCTATGGTCAGCCTGCAAAATTTGGGTTACCGATATCCATGCTGAAAATTCCATACTTGTACTGAAAAGACGGTGTAGCATCAAGCTGTAATCAAAATAAAAATAAAAAAATTCTATTTCTTGTCGTTTGACGTTAACCGAAATCACACGCTCAGTGATTGGTTGATGAAAATAAACTGTAGATATATCAACAGCAGTTCGATTATTGAAAATTATACCTTGGCTTCCATGTCTTGCCTTCTGTTGTTATAGTAGTAGTGATAAGACCCTACTGAGATATAATAGCACTTAGAGAAATGTGGATTATGAAAGTCTCTGGTCCATTGGCCAAATATCAGAGTGCTTATCTCACGAATTGATGGTAATGAGATCTGCTTGCCTCTTGGGGATTGGAGAGAATGAGTTGTTACGCCAGATCAATACTCTTACAGTTTATGTCACTATGGGATTAAACATACTGTAAAATCAGGCGTTTTTTGCACAAACCAACTTATTGCTCATAGTTTCAGTAGATTAAGAAACAGAAATATCAAGTCCGTTATTTTAAAAAAGGAGATGTTTGCAACGATGAAAATCGTCTTTTCGACGAAGTCATCAACCTGATAAACCTGTACATTCTGTATTTATAGTAAGCGAGTGAGAAATTTCTGGAACTATTTCCAATCAGGGGTAAAACTGATAAAATTACAAGGCGTAATAAACAGGAAGACCGGATAAAAAGGTATAGTAGGATCGTAATTAGTCAAAAACCTGACTGTTTGTGCAATTAGGGATTAAGAGTGTAGTGATTAACAAAGTAGACAGGAAGTTCGGATAAAAAGCATAGTAATGCAGATAGGGATTATAAAAACTTTAAAATAAGAGAAATAAAACTGAAGACTGCATAAGAAAGGCAATAGGTCAATCATAATTGATAGGACTGACTTTTAGGGACAACAGTTCAACGTATTCCTTTTGAATACTTAACGTGGGCTTCAACTTTTGGATCGCCAGTACCTTAGGTATTCCTAGACGCATTGATTTCACTCCATTGAATAGGTTTGATTGGATCTTGTGTATGACTTTGAAGGACTTTTCAAATGGAACTGGATTTCCTGCTGATGACTTCGTCGAAAAGAAAATTTTTCTACGCTGCAATCATCTTTTGATTAATACCTACGACCTAGCATATATATTCTGTGAAATCTATTATAACATGAATAAACTCCGTCTAAGGGTTTGTTCCTGCATTCAGCTTTGCGGGTGAGCCTTTAGAATTAGCCGGTAACTTCGTGAATCTAGGTAGTTCTGTGAGTTTGACGTATAAAGTCTCAAATAATAGACTGAAAGCCACAACGGTATACACCAGCTTGGTTCACTTCTGGCTATCAAGGTTCGGGTGTATATTGTTTAGTTTTGTTCTATGCCTGCAAAATCTGACCTCTCGCAGCTGAGAATGTGGGGCTAATCTGCGTGTTTTATTATCAGCGTCGTCGCGGAATTGCTTACATCCAGTGACACTATTATGTAAGTATTTCTGAGGCATAGTGGCGTTTGCCTCCACATGTTGGAGATCTTTTTCCACTTAATGTTATCATTTCGGAAAACTGGCTTCATTGACTTGAACATGGACTGTGAATGTCATCCCAGTGGCTCCTATACAACTCACTGCTTACCAGCTTCAGGATTGCGTTGAAAAAGTGAAAGGCTGTTTATCCCATAATGTGGCGTCATGGGATGCGGGATATTTGTTTGAATTTAGCATCTGTTGGTTCACCATTCGCCTGGGTAATAGTCTCAGAGACAATCCTGGTCACTGGCTTGGGATGTTGGCAGCTATGGCCAAGATTCATAATCACTGGCAGAAATGCTGCAATCTCCTTCCTTCTTCTTTTTCTGGAAGTAACATGAAGGGATGAACACTCCTTAAATGTTGAGTATGTTTGTCTGTCCTCATAACCGTATTCCACAATCATTCTGTTTCTTTCATATAAATTGCATTTCACTGTTTATTTCTTGGTGAATCTTTCGGTGCCCATATTGTAATAAGTTTGCTTCGAATAAAATAAAACGTAAATAAGCACTACATGGACGAGTCATAACTTGAGTATCTTTCAGAATCGATTTCGGATTATATTATTGTTCCCTTGGATTCCTAGTGGAATATAGGGCTTCATCTACACGTCTCCACTTGCTTCTGTCTTGTGCTGTACTTTTCACTTGCATCCATGTTAGTCCATACTGTTTCAGCTCTTCTTCACACGATCTCCTCCATGTCACCCTTGGATGTCCCACTCGCCGCTTCCCTTTCGGGTTCCACTCGAACTATGGCCTGACGCGCGATGTCACCCAGCTGCCTCCTCATCGAGTGTCCAATCCATCTCCACTTTCTCCTGCATATTTGTTGGGCGATTGGTTCTTGTTTTGTTTGTCCCCATAGTTTCTTGTTCGTGATTCTTTCCGGTCATCTGATCTTCAGTATAGAGCCAGCGAAGACAGTTGTTGATAAAGATCTGCAAAGGCTGTTGGAAATATTCTTTGTGACACACTGGCCAAGTTTCTGATCCGTATAGAAGAACTGACTGACTTGACGCTTGTATTGAAAATACGGACTTTGTTGTTGATGGTGAGTTGAGTGACGAAGATTTCCAGATTGGTTTCATGTTGATGAATGTGTTTCTCGCCTTCCCGATTCTCGATTTGACATCCTCGTCCGTTCCTCCTGCAGTTGAGACAATGCTCCCTAGATAAGTGAATGAAGTAACCTCTTTCAAATCCCTCCCGTTGATGGTGAGTGGCGCTGGATGCCGCTGTTGTTGCTTGGTTGGTTATTTTCATAACTTCCGTCTTGTCTATATTCACCTGGAGTCCTGTCTTCACTGCCTGCTTCTTCGACCAGTTTGTCGGTTTTCGCTTGTAAGTCTTCGATTTTGTGTGACATCAAACATAAATCATCCTCGCGCGAAATCCAGGTCTTCTAGGTTCTTCACGTCGGTCCAGGATATTCCTGTCTTCTCGTTTCCCACTGTCTGACGCATAATCCAGTCCACCACAATTAGGAATATCATTGGTGATAATAAGCACCCTTGTCTGACTCCTGTGTTCACTTTAAACGCCTCGCTGAGCTTTCCTTTTTGGATCACTTGACATGTGCCGTTGTCGCACAGCTGTTGAATAAGGTTGATGAATATTTGGGATACGGCGTAGTACTCGAGTAGTTTCCAAATTACTTCACGGCCAACGCTGTCGAGGGCCTTCTCAAATTCTATGAAGTTGAGGTAGAGGTTTGATTGCCATTCCATACTTTGTTCGATTATGATGCTTTGAATGCAATTTGGTCAGAACTTGATTTCGGATTGGTATCAGTCAAACAAACATTCAAAATCAGTGCTAGATTACTGGACAGCCGTTTCGTCCCAGTCTGGAGCTCTTCATAATGCACGCCCACAAGTATTCAGACCCATTACTCTCCGGTTACAAGTTAAGCTTGTAAAACAACTAGCCACTGTGACCCGAATCAACGGCACATAAATTCCAACTTCTAACAGTTGGTGAATTTAGCCCGACAGGCACTAGCCAATGTCATCGTTGAGCATTCATCCTCACTTCCGATTTGGTGGACTTCACTGGTGATAACTTTTCACTAGGACTCCAGGTGACGAACAAGAGTTCATACCTAGGACTGGGATATTTACTGATTAAAAGTCCCAATCTAGGATGAAACAGCTGTCTATTACTCCCTGGTTTTCAGTGGTACGCGAAGGACAGCACTCCGAGATCAAACTTGGAAAAAATCGCATTCCAACAGAGTGTCTCTTATACATCTTTGTTCTGTGACTTTTAAATTTAAGAATGAGTGTTCGAGTCTCAGGAGGAACATTAGTTTCCTGAACGAAGAGATCCATGGATCAAGACTTTTATTTCTAGTCTTTCATACTGAGTAACGCCAATGAGTCCCAAACTAGGATGAAATACGTGTCCAGTACTCTTCGGTGGTTTTCAGTGATTCTCTAACTGACATCAATCTGTGGACTGGCCTGAAACAAATAGAATCCCTATGAAATAATTCTTGAAAATTTATGTTTTATATTCTTACGTATTCATCAATAAATTTTTGAGAATATGTTAACATTAGGGAAAAATAAACCACGTAGTTCAGTGAAGAATCGCTTTTTGGCAAATTCATTCCTTCTACTGATACAATCCCACTTATATGCATTTATTTCATGAAGGAGAGGGTCAGAACTGTGATGAGTAGTCACAAACATAATTGTTAATGTCAGTTCACACTTAAGAGGAATTGAAAAAGTGTATTGGAGTTAAGTAATAAGATGAGTAATTTGATTGGATGAGTTGTAATCACGGTGCACATAGAAACGAAAGAAAATACTGAGTTATGTAGGAATTCCGAATAAATACAAGAGTTATAATCACTTGGAAAAACAAGCATATAAAAATCAAGTTAATAGAAATCAACACAGTTGTCGCCATGATAGTAGAAGTGGTTGGATGATTTTCTTTTGTATACATAACGCTGCCTTTTCCAACTGAATGGCAAAGGCTTCGGCAATGCAACCAGGAGACGAGTGCGTATTGCCTTTGGTAGTTTATTTTTCACTTTGTAGATTACTCTGAAGGAGGAGGTGTTTGTTGAGATGGAGTGGTCAGTGTTGACAAGGTGTTCGATTATCACACTCCTCATAGAGCCACTACCACCTCTCTGCAATCATACAGTGAGACAGCGTTGTTGAACCCTTTTTGTACAGGAGACGCTTCGAACTACCAATGTACCTTACTCCGCAGCATGAGGTTAACTGATATATGCACACTTAGAAGTGGTCAAATGCGAGATCTTGTCCTTGAGGCTTCTGCTTACAAATGGACGACTAGAGAAAATAATTTTTTGCGTTCCTGCGATGAATGTTCTCAAAAATGCTGAAACTCTCCTAAGGATATTGCAGGTTAAGTCTTTTCTGAAATCTAAGTTCATGTAAAGTTTATTTTGTGGAACGAGTAATGTTTCGTTCCTCTGAACCATAGGTCTGATATTCCTATCAATAAACCTCGGTATTTACCTATTTTTGAATGAAGGTTTCTTTCAGAAGATGTAGTTATGCTTCTAGAGCGTCACGACTTCAGATGCCATGTTGGATCTGTGTCAAGTGAATTAATTAAATTTCGCTTTCGTTCAACAGACACTCGACTGCAGAAACCCATTAGTTGACCGTTCCGGGTGGGTTTTCTATGGACTGACCCTCCTAAGTTTCCAATGGGTCGTCTTGTTAGTTCCCCATCATAACATCCTGCAGTGATGATGAAACTTGTAAGTGAACAGTATTCACATGAGTCTTACAGTGGCTGTTAATCAAATATGACAAAATTTTCAATAGATCTATCGGGAGTTCATTTAAAAAATACGTTTTACATTCCTTGTTACTGTCTACTTTCATTTGTCCTCAATGATTATTTGAATGTAAGTCAAAAAAACTAAAATTAACCAAGAAAGTGAATGGTTGTCACTCTAAACTCTCCAAGTAATCATAATCCTCGCTCATACGTCACACAAAACAAAGAAACTCAGTGGTGAACAACATCAGGCTATATATGACTGGAAGTAGATGCGTCTATCTTTCTGTGTGACTAGAATTCCTTGATTTCTTTTCCATTACCGTCCTACAGGATGTAAAATGGGAGCCCAAATAGCTCATTAGTAACGTCTCTGACACGCTTTCAAATCTTGGAAGGAACATGAGTTCTTTCAACATTACGGACACGTCCTGATGACTGGTGAGTTCAAGCAAGCATGAGATTTAGATCCAGGGCTTCCTGCCGATCGCCTCCAGTCATCTAACAAGAAAATATGTTATTTGGAATACTTCTTGTTTGGAAAAATTCATCATAAATGCATTTTATCAACGTTAATTGGCTGGTGGAGGTGAACAGTGGGAACCAGGATGCATGTTTCATTCTATTCTTGACTCATCATCTGAGTGTATCTACACCTACATTTCCAGTGAGTTATTATGTCCCCACCCCTACACATACGTGCACGTACAGAATGAGGCTCGACCGTAGGACCCATCATTCCAAGTCATTAAACAAATAACACTATAAAAGTTCAGTTTATGAGTATACGGAGTTTATTTTCAACTTTTTGGTTATGGGTTGTTTCATTTACCAAGTACAACCAGTTAGATAGTTTCACTAGCCCCTTCTTTAAACGGTGGGAACAGTCGTTAGATTCAAGAATAGACGAGTGAGTTTTGAACGATATGCATTGAAAATATGTTTCCTCTTAAAAACATTCCACTTCACCTTTTTTCTAAACAAGTTTTTTTTGAATTTCTTCTAGGCGAAACAGGAAAAACAAATGACTATCTAACTCTTGTCTGGGGTGAGTAAAATATGGAGTAAAAATTACTTTTTCATGTCATAACTTTGAAGTTAATCAATAATTTTAAATTTTATGGCTAGTTTACAACAACATAAGTAAACTGCTTGCTTTCAACATTTTTTTTTATTAAGTGTCTGCAGGAATTTTGTCAGAATACTAAAGATTGTACAACAATGAGTTTTCGTTACTCCAAGATTGTCTTTTAATTCATGATCGAAAGTCATTTTGCCCAGGTATTCTGACTGAGATTTGTCAGTTAGTGGATATAGTCCAATAAATGATGGAGCTCCCAGCACCAAGAAGCCATTAAAGTTTAGTTCAAATAGTTACTAGATTAAAAGATCCACTTCTTCCGTAGAAGTTACCATGATGTTGCTTCAGTTATTAGCTGTTCTAACTACAATCTTTCATTCTGAGCAGGCAGATCTATCGATCCTTTCAAAGTTTAGCTTTCCAGCACTAAAGATATGGGACAAGTCTTTATGTTTAATTATCTCTGTCTCCCGAGAAGATTTCAGTGTTATATTTATATTCTACGATTCAGAAGTATACATGCTCAATAGCTGAAATTCAACTCTCCGAGAATTGATATCATCTTGGTATACTGCCTTTAGTGGTTTGAAATGATGTCATACCTATGGTCCCGTTGGCTTCCATAAGGTTCAATGTTTGACACTCCCAGGAATGGTTACATGATGGGAAGGATTGACTGAGTGAGAAGATTTACCGCATCATCGACACAGGAGTAAAACGTACGGCATTTTCGCTGTTAAATTGGATTTTTAAGTGTTGGCTCACATGGATTTGACTGGTTACAGGATAAGTCATGAGATGACATCAGTTGGAAAACCATTGGGAAACTACTGGGGAGTACTGGACAACCGTTTTGCCCTAGTAATTGGGACTCTTCGTCAGTGCTCATCCTCTTAGTTTCGAACCACTGACCTTCCGGCTACCAGGCAGCGAGCTCGTAGATCATCCAGACACTGGGTCCTGACTAAACGTTCCTTGAATTCCATCTTCTGCCAATTCATGATAAATATTTAACACAACCGCCAGCCAGTGTCACAGGCAAGCAACTTTACTCTTGCCCAACCTGGAGGAACTAACTAGTCGGAAAGGAGATCTGATAATTCATCTCAGGGACCAGCCTGCCGGAAGCCGACATGGAAAGTTCTGTATACTAATTTTCAGAGTTGGATCCCTTTCAAAAGAAAAAGAAACCTGATTAAATCATTATATGGACCTTGACGCGCTTTTCGATTGGTGCGCTACGTTTGCTTAGTTACATAAAACTCTTATTTCTCTGGTGTTTCTGGCCAGGAATTTGTGGAATTTATTTTAATTATTTTACCTACTAACACTAAACCTGTGGATATAATCTTGTTGACTAATAATACCTATAATTAACTGTTTCGTATTTTGTGACTGTTTAACACTAATATCTATACTTGTGTATATTGTTGGATTTACATACCCAAGTTGACCTAAGTCAGTGAGTCTATGGTTTTGTTAACTCTATTTGACAGTGATATAACTGCTACGGTATTTTTTGTTGTTGTCACTGCCCTTCCTGTTAGAAATATTTTAAATTTTCAATTGCTGGTGTTGTTACGATTGCTTTATTCCTTGTTTTCCTGATTCTAAGGGGAGCAACCCAAGAAGTCGCTCCTCTGTAAACTATATGTAGATTTAACAACCCCCTTCTCAGGCGTGAGGCTAGCAACCCCATCCTGTAAGCAAATCTGCTGCAGAAACTTTAGTACGATGAGTCTCCTTAAGACAAAAAGACAAGTCTGTGTGGGAACATAGAATGTTCGCACTACGTATGAAACTGGCAAAGCTGCCTAGATTGCAAACGAGATGAAAAGATACGGAATTCAATCACTAGGAATATGTGAAAGTGTATGGAATGTTAGTGGGCTCACCAAATTGTCAACGGGTGAGTCGATTATCTACTCTGGTCACCCTTAAGACAACCACGAACACACCGACGGTTTGGCTAACATGATGTCACTAACAGCAACGTAGGCCCTGATGCAATGGGAGGCGATAATAACCGCCAGATTCAACTCCAAAGGAAGGAAAGTGTCAATTATACAATGCTATGCACCGACCAACAACTCAGACCTCGAAACGAAAGAAGAATTCTACAGACAACTACAGGCAACAATGGACAATACTCCAGTCGGCGACATTAAAATACTAATGGGAGACATGAACGCCAAATTGGGTTCAGACAACACAGGAAGGGAACTCATCATGGGTAGAGAAGCTCTCGGAGAAATGAATGAAAACGGAGAACTCTTCGCCGACTTCTGTGCCTTCAATGAACTAGTGATTGGTGGCAGCGTATACAAACACAAGAATATCCACAAGGCTACATGGGTGTCACCAGATGGGCGAACCAAAAACCAAATCGACTTCATCTCAATCTCAAGGAAGCGGAGGCACAGCCTGCTTGACACAAAAGTAAGAAGAGGAGCAGACGTTGGCTCAGACCATTATCTCGTACAAGGGACAATCCAAATCAAATTAAAAGCTTTCAGAGAATCAGGAGCTGCAGATAGACCATAAGCCAAGTCCAACACTCAAAAACTGAAGGACCAGGACACAAAGGACATCTTCACTGCAAGCATAAAAGACAAAGCCGAGACACAAATCAACACTGGCGAAGAGGTCAGCGTCGAAAAGCACTGGAACAACTTGAAGACAGTGTGGAGTCAAGCATGCATGGAAGTTCTAGGCAGAAAGAAGAGACAGGAAAAACAATGGCTCACTACGGACACTTGGAAACTAATAGAAGAGAGAGGGATGGTGAAACAAAAAATTCTCCAGTGCACCGATGAGCAACAAAAACAGGATTTGAACGCAAGCTACAAGACACTGAACAAAAGATTAAAGAAGAGTGCCAGAGAAGACAAAAGAAAGTACTATGAAACCATGGCAAGTGAGGCAAAACAAGCTGCAGGGGGGAGGAAACCTCGCAACACTCTACCAAACAACTAGGTACCTATCGGGCAAACGTTTGACACAAATTAAGCCAGTGAAGGATGGCAATGGAAAGTCACTCACCAAAGAAGTGGAGCAAAGGAAACACTGGGCTGAACACTTCAAAAGACTCCTAAATCGACCACCACCTACAACGCGCCCAACAATACCAATGACGGGGACAGAGCTACCAGTGAACACCAACCCCCCGACGAAATCAGAAGTCCTGAAGGCAATGAAGATGCCAAAAGCTGGAAAAGCAGCAGGACCAGATGGAATCCCAGCAGAGGCATTGAAAGTGGATCCAGAGACAACAGCGAACTTGATGACTTCACTACTGGAGGTGTTGAGGGATGGTAAGGTGCCTGCGGAAAGGGCTTCCTTCATGTGAACATAGAGAAAATAGAAATAGGTGATGAAGATTCCTGGCTAACAGACACAACAACAGAAAACAGTCAGCATAAATGGGAGAAATCTGAAAGAATCAACCTCCTTTACCTGCCTACTTACCTACCTGGGAAGCATCGTCATTTCAACTACAGGCAAGGATATCAAAGCAAGGATTGGGGAAGCAAGGCAAGCTCTCATTACTCTCAAGTCTGTGTGGAGGTCAACAGCAGCCGGCATGAAAAATGAGGTCCGGATTTTCAACTCCAATGTGAAGTCAGTCAGTGCTACTATACGGATCATAGACTTGGCGCCCTGTCACGAATTGCACTTCAAGCAAACTGCACACCTTGATCAACAGCTGTCTTCTTTCAATACTAGTCGAGATCCGATAGCCGGCCAGAAAAGATCGGCAATAGTGAGGGATCTCTGACAGTGAACTAACGCGGCAGGAACCGATTGTGCAAGAAATATGCAGGAAGAAATGGAGTTAGGTGGATTAGCTATACTCTGAGAAAACAAACCGCCAAGTGACATCACACGTCAGGCCATCGCTCGAGTGGAACCCGAAAGGGAAGTGGCGAGTTGGTGGTCAGTGATAGAGTGATATTGAGGAGGTGATATGAATAGGAGATGAAAGCATGTGGGGAGACATGGAGCCAGGTGAAAACGTTGGCAGAGAACCGAACGCAATGGAGACGTGCCGATGAAGCCCTGTGTTCCTCTACGAACTAAAGGAAACAATAATAATTATTGATAGATCTATACCAGTGGTATTCAGACACCTCATCATTCTAATTGGATGTTCCACAAGATTCATCGATAAAAATATCGGCAGAAAGAATTCTTGAAACTTCGAAGAAACTTTTGTTTTTTAGATGTTGAATTCAAACGTTATACTATGACCGAGATTCTAAACAACCATCAAGGTCATTGAGAAGAATATTTCAGTCAGGAAATAGTCAGCAGATATGCTAAGGAAAAACTTTTGCTTTGAGCCATTTCAATGTGTTTTTAGAAATTCATATGCTCCAGTGGAACCAATTATATTTGCCTCACAAAGTGAACACTCTCCAAATGCATTTCAGAACACTGTTCTCCATAGTCATCAAGAGAACAACGCAAAGACATTGCAGTGTTATAACCTTTAGATGAAACATTTGAAAGCTCAACAGAGGAACATATTACTTGTACAAATCTTTTATTCATACAGGTGCGATACTTAGTTACAGAAATGAAGCTTAGACTTTGTTATATTTTGGCCACAATTAGATCAGAAGTTGCTGTTTTTTCTTCGCAAACTTTTTGTTGATGGTAAGAGGCTTTTAAACCAAATTTATAAGATAACCGAGTTATCACTTGATTCTCTGAGTTGTAGTCCATAGTTCATGAGACCAACTTCTGATAATGACTTTCTGAACTTATGAGAAAGTCTCTCCGGTTATTTAAACTCTCACCAAGAAAGACGATTACAAGGATTCATTCACAGTGGAGGCTTTTTCAAAATGTATAGACGGTTGAACTAGTCTTCATCTGTTCTTCATTCATCCATTATCCAACTCCAGTTGGATAATTGACTTATAAAACCTCCACAACCTCATAAAACTATGAGTAAACAGCAG